AGCCAGCAGGTGGCAGCGCACCGACTCAGGCCATGTGGGGCCGGAGAGGCTACGGCGGCGAGTCGTGACGACAGGTGCGGAGAAGTGCTTCGCACAAGAAGTTTCTCGGGCAAACCCCGGGCTATGCGCGTAGTAGTAGTAGTAGTAGTAGTAGTAGTTTTTTTGTCACCCACTTGGCACGACTGTGTCAGAACTGCGGGGCCACGACGGTCACGAGGTAGACAAGGAGGTGACCCGCAGCAAGTATAAATAAGACACTAACGTAAGTTGCTAAAGAACACCAGCTCATTCGGTCACCTCCCGTGGAAAACAGACGACTTCGATGATATTGCAGTTCGAGTACGTCTCTCGGGGCAAGGGCCTAACTTCACGCACACATGCCGGGCACTCTGACTACCGCACAACCGCATAGCCTGAAAAGATGACAGAGTAAGGCCCAAAGTACACCAAGTAGCCCTAACTCTGACCGAAGCACCCAGCACATGACACGTGGAGACTATCTGCTGGGCCTGCTGTGGCAGCAGGTTTCACAAATCTTCTGTACTCCCATATATGGCAGTCCATACAGGCTCATAGCAACAACCGCGTAATGAAGAACCCTTTAGAGGCTCACCAAACACTGACCGGAGCACACCCACGTCCAGAGGGACTGCTCAGCTAATGAGCAACCTGCTTGTGGCGGTCGGCAGACGCGCAAGAGCTCTGTATCTTAGCATGGGGTAGTCCATACAGGTCCACAACAACAACCTCCCAAGAAAAAGACCATTTAGAGGCTCACCAAACGCTGACCCGAAGTATACCCTAGACCTGAGGGACTACACACCTAAGGAACCAAGGCTCATGGGGCATGCAACAGTTCATCAAATTCAAGGGAACAGTGCGACAGTTCTATGCGGGCAAGCCAATTAAGGCCAGGCAAGCAGTTCAAGTCACTCAACCGAAAAGGGTTGCAAGCAGCTCAATACCAGAGAACCATGTCCGGCAGTGTCAAAACCACCTTCCACAGCTACATCCAGGATTTTGGCAGCAAGCAGTCGCTATCCTCCTCGCAAAAGTTGAGCACCAGTTCACTTCCCTCAGCGGTGATGCGCTTGACATCCCCATTCACACCAAAGCAGCGCATAGTATGGCGTTTTATGTATCCCGTACTTCTTGGTGCGGTCGGATATCCTTCCCCAGATGGTGAGGCGTCTTTAATCGTACAGCCCGCTGATCCGTGCAGGATGCAACAAGATCTCCCGGCAGGGTAAGTGCACTCTATGGTGGTGCCAAGTGATGCACTCCTTCCCCATATCCACGCGGACTTCCCAGTCCTGAATTGTGTCCTGGATGTACTCCATGTCCACTTGCCAGAAACTGTGGTCTTCCGGTCGCTGTGAGCGCAGAGGCAGGGTGACTCTTTGCAGGCTCTCAGAGTAAAAACCCATCTCAAAGGATATAGTGTAATGTCATGCCCAGGCTCGTCTCATCTGCCTCAGGTAGTTGTACAGCAGCATTGCCAAGAAGTATGCCGTGGGTTGTGGCACTCTATCCAGTGTTCTCTGTACTTCCTGAGGGTACAGAGGCGAGAAAGGCAGAAGGTGCGCCGCTCTGGGCACAGAAAAGATGCCCATGTCGATGTTGAGCTGTCACGCAGTGGCTGTCCGCAAGACATCGCAAGACCCCAAATGCAGATTGTCAGCGGCTGTCCACAAGACCCCGAATGCAGACTGTCAGAGCACCGTCCGATACAGTTTACAGTCGTGCCATGGCGTTCTGTCTGCTACAAGGCGCGAGCTAAAGGTGTCAGAAACTATGCTGCCAGGTGTTTGGACAGGGAGTCCAGTTGTCGCTTGTCTGTTTGAAGGAACCCTGCCACCCGGGACTAGACAGACAACCAGGACGAAAACGGCAAGTAGAGGGAAGGAGTGAGAGCACAGCACGCCAGGAAGACAGTGCGAAAAGCAGCGCAGGCAGTGCAGGTAGCAAAAGAAGGCAGGTCAAGGAAGCAAGGCAAGCAGTGCATGCGGGCATATAGGTGTGTCAAGTGTGAGAGCCGTTTTGACAGTGTCTTTCACACTGTGTCCACCTTGTCATCAATCACTATCATCACGAACGATAACGACTCTCGAAACGTCATGGTTCGCCACCTGACGACGACGACGAGCATCTTTGTCCACTTCTTGGTGGTTGGTCTCTTCATCATCTTCATTCACCATCATGCTGTTTATATAGTTGTCGGGGGGACGAGGGCTTGTTGGAGGTTCAGGGAGGCAACGTTTTCTGGGAAAGAAGCTCCTGATACTGGTTTGAAATCCCATTGGTTTATCCGAAAGGCAAAATCCTAGAGAAGCTAGTGAATCAAACAGGTGGTTCGGGAGTGGGGAGCTTCTACGTGGGCACAAGGCACTGATGCTAATTCTGACATCTTCGACATTGCCAGTATCTTTGCTGCAATGAGGTGTCCTCGCGTCGAAAACGGTGGGCGTCAGTCCTACATCTATCTCACATCCCATCAAACGATGTCCCTGAAACACCTTCGCGGAATCTCCGGACGTGCTAGAAATCCAGAAGCCACACGACCTATCTATCTCCGCAGCCTGACACGATCCCTGAAAGACCCTGTACACGGGTGTCCACGTGGACTTGAAATTTGCCCCCAAACCGAATACCTATGGTGTGGAACTTAAGCGATGGCAACTTGACCTGGACAAAGGGAGTGACTAGCTTCGTGAGGGTTGGGAGCTTTGCAGTGGTTGTAGTCAACTTCAACGGGGAGCGTGGGGACACACCTAGAACAATTACACCTTGCTTTGTTGGGGGGGATGTCCAAAACCTAGGGGAATGGATTGAAGAATGGAGTCGAGGTCAAGCAATGGGAAGGGTTTGGTAGTTTCCAAGAGCTCCTGCAGCGCGTCTACAGCTAGTTGTTCTGCAACAGCAAGCTTCGTGGTATCCTGTGGCTTGGTGGCAGCAATGACCACGACAAAGGACACAACTGTTCGGGTGGCGGGTTAATCTGGATTGCATGAACATGTTGCGTGTTGAGCCCGGCTTGAGCCGTAGCGTAGTAGTAGTAGTAGTAGTAGTAGTAGTAGCAGTAGTAGTAGTATTCATTCATTCATTCATTCATTCATTCATTCATTCATTCATTCATTCATTCATTCATTCATTCAGCACGCACACCGTGTTCGATGATTCGCGACGGGAATGGCTGGAGCCTAAAGCTCCTGGAAGCTCCGGGCTTCACCGCACTATTGGCGGCCCAAGAAATGCCATCTAATCTAGGCATAAAGTAACTCAATCAAGCGTCGTGAGAAAAGGCTCATCAGCATCAGCCTGTGCCGTAGGCTCAGTCAAAGCTAGCTCCTCACCAACTTCGCCACTGAAAAACACTCGATCTGAAACATCGAGACCCGCAGTGACCCCAGCGAGAGATCCAACAGCATCACTTCCCGACCCTTCTCCCGAAGCAGCAGCATGCCCATGACCTGTCACCTCAACATTAGAGCATGATGAGGTGACGCCACGAGTCATATTGCTTTGCCAAAAAGAGGTGCATCGGCCGCTATGTCGCCCATATCTACAATATGAGCAACAGTCTCTGTACCCGTTTCCTGATCCACGGGGACATCCAGGCGTGGAGCACTGAGCAGTATTCTGTCTCGGAATCAGCCCGCCCCTTGTGAGAGCCCGCTGTAGGGCTCCGCAGCGCCGCGCATGCGCCACTCCCCCACTGCTTCTGCAAAGGGAGCAGCAATGCCGATGTCTCGTATACAGATACAGCTTGCCGCGTTGTGGAGTGATGCAACGTCGAAGTCTCTGCTGATTATCATCATTTGCACCATTGGCACCTGATGCGGCATCCACGGCTGGAGGGGCTGGGGGGCCTGACAGTTCGCCATCCTCAGCGTCCGTAACTGCCTCCCCCGACGGGCTCTGTGCTGTTGCAGCCGGAGCCTCAGTCCAGGCATGTGGCTGCGAAGCATCCGCAGCCATCCGCGACATGGCCATGACCTGAGTGTGCACACACCGGCCACAGCAAATTTTACACTTGTGTCTGGCAGCGCGTGAGGTGCATACTGTGACGCTCTCAGACAGTCTACTGCAAATGCAAATGCATGACGCGGCTGCCGCTCGCACTTATACAGCGGAACGCTGGTAGCTTGTTTTCGCCCATCCCCCGAGCAATAGCATCTTAGCAGCGATGTATCTCGCTTTGCAGAAGGAAAAGAGAGCCAACAGGCGCCGATGTTCACAGAAGACAAGGGGCCCACGGCTTCACGGCTTCATGGCAACTGAAATCCTAACTCTAACAGCACACCTCGCTCCACCGGCGAGAGAAAGCGATGCTGTCCGATAGTGAAGGCAGCGAGAACCACTCGATCACCATCCGACCACGGCCTAACCCCATGCAGAGCAGTTGCAGCTGGAAAGAGTATGCAGTTCATGCTAGTAGTGTACGCAACGCCCGGCAAGAGTTTCTCGCCACACTCCTCAAAATCAGTGCCCTGTTCATGTTGTATCCAGAGCTGTCCCCCCTTGTAGTGGCTAAGACCTACCAACAGCGATGGCAGGCGCGCGTTCTGCACATCAACATGAGGCGAGACTAAGCTATTGAGGGAGACAACCAGACTAGTCCACCTATGTTCCGGGCAGAGCTTGCGAACTAATCCATTAAGGAGTGCACACACAGAGCGATGCATCGCCGTCACCTGTGTCAGACCACAAAAGGAGTGGTGACCATACGCCCCTAACCTAACAACCCGCTGCATCACATCAGCACTCAGACGTCTTTCGGCCTTGTGAAGTTGAGCTGTGTGATGACTTGACGTGCCGCGCCCCATAAGGAGGCGGAGCTATCATGTAGGAGCTGCGAAGCGACCTGATTGGCGGGACTGCCTTGTTCCACATCGCCGTCCACTGGTGGCGGCAAGCCCGCACCCATTGCGCCCGGAAGCTTCTCACAGAGTTGGGCAGCATACAGAGCAAGGCGTTCGTACCGCTCAGGAACCAAATCACCTCGAGCAAATGCCAAGATGTCATTGCGCTGTGCCATTGACAAAGAGGCAGGAAGAGAGCAGCCAGCTTCCTCTTGTTTGAGGAGTCGGTAAGCAGCAAGCAGCAGATTTTCCTCGAGCGCCTCCTGATATATCTGCGCTGGAAGAGGCACACGCACAACCTCTCTATCTGTCACAGCCATGCCCCAGCGTGACTAAGCCAGCAGACAAAGAGGGCACCCCCATCTTGAGCGACAGAGCATACAGGCATGAGAGCTGGGCACTGGCACGTTTCTGCATGATTGTTGGTGCTCGACGGACACACCTAGGCACAACGAAAGCTGAGATCGCGGCTGCGTCACGCAGCACCACCCACCCAACCAACCCCTACCTATCGGTGGCTGCAGAGCCGTTGCGCCCACGTGAATGGTTCGAGGGGGCTGAGCGGTCCATGCTGCACTCCAACAGGCACTGGACATGAGCACTTGATCTTGCCACTGATGTGAACATACTGTACAGACATGTTGAATTCATGAGAGCAACTTGCATGAAATCGGCCATCGTAGGATTTTGCACCGATAGCAGCACCCATCTTCGGCCTGGTGCATCTGTACATCCCCACGGCCTACGTCACGGACTCCCTGGGTCAAACACCAAACCCACAAGGTAGCTGTTACGCTCAAGCATGTCAGCATCCCTGGCAGCTAGTAGTCGCGGCTTGCTGTTATCATTTAAGACCCAGCCTTGCCATGATGCTGGCTCACCTTCCCCGACATCCGCTATGGGTTTGCACACCACTGCTTGATAGTGACCCGTCTCGACATGTAGACCAAGGTGGCAAAGAACCCAAGCTATCCTAAAGTACTCAAAGCGGATGTGGACCCCAACTGAGCTACTGAAGACTGGCACGGCGATGCGCTCACCCGGGTGCCACCTGACATCTGACTGGTCTTTCACATGGCACGATCCCTCCTGTTTGTAACGCTTCAGCTGCAGAAGCACAATTCCCGAATGTTCGTGTAGTGCATGTATGGTGTGTTGCTCGTGCCAGGCATGAAGCAGATCAGCAACCGTCGCGCCTGAGAGATCAAGAAGAATCGGGGCATCCAGAGCTCCTGTGTCCACAACTACATCAGGCCCTGTAAGCCTGGCTTGCCACGAGCCGATGTATGCAGATGGTACGCTCTTCGAGAGCAGGTGCTGCATGAACTGGCAAACATCATGCTGTCTGGTGACCTCACGCCAGCCGCCTAAGAGCATGTGCCACGCAAGGCTCTGGGGGAGATGGGGTTTCCCATTGGCAAGAACAGGCTTGACTGCGGCAGTGGCGTTACCATAGCAGCGGTCCTCACGATCCACCAGCTGACCAGTCCACGCAAAAGCCTGTGCGCACGCATTCAAGTAACAGATGTTGTTGGGGTTTTGAAGACGACTCTGTGGAACGCATAGGTGCGGTTTGATGTGCAGGCGCACAAGCGTGTCCCGCCTCACTTGGCCGTCGCTCCTCCTTCCATTGCCTGGGCCTCCTGTGTCCATTGGGACTGCGGCTTCCAGTCCGCAAAGGAGAGGCCCGTGTACGAGTCCTCCAAGGCTTTGGCCAGGGTGGATTGCTGCCCCCTGTCCGGACGAACTCGTAGGCCCGCCACTTTCAGGCAGGCGCATCCCGACAGAATGCCAAGCGCCTGGTGAACTTGCATCGCCAGCTGCCTGCGTAGGGACAGGAGCAGAGCAAACGGCATCACCTCGCCCGTGATCTTCTCTGTCAAGGGCCGGGTCGACCGGAATCTCAACAGGACCCCTGGGCCTCCCACATTGTTGATCACCGCTTGGATCGCGCCCAACGCCAGGGAGTACGGGATTGGCGCCTGAGGTGAGACTTCCACTGGCTGCTTCTCTGGCGACCGTTGCTGGTAGATCCACTTGGGATTCAACGCTTGCTCGCCGTTCACAAGCCACCCGACACTGTGCATCTTCGTGAGGCGATCTTGATCCTGGAGCAGCGCCTGTAATCTCGTGGCCAGCTCCTGGAAGACTCCGATCAGAAGGACGGTGCGAAGACTGCTGGTCACCTTCTTCTCCTGGTACAGCTCCTGCCACTTCGCCGACTTCTCCTGGATGAGGGAGAGCACTCCTTGCTCGTGTGTATCCACGAACATCCACGTCGTGTCTTGACGAAGCAGCTCTCCGACTCGTGCCGCATCAACATCTTCGCCACATTGCGAAGAAACTCCTGCTCCTGCTCCCCAAGCGGCGCTGGCTCGTATGTCCACGGATCCTTGGGATCTTTCCAGGAGCCACTGAAGTTTCCTTTGCCGTAGCTCTGTTGGCCTTTGGAAGCAGGTCCGTTCCACTTGGGCTTTCTTCCCGCCCAATCCTCCAGCCCTTCCGTCGTCTCGCGGCGCGACTTGTCCCCTGTCTCCAGAGGAGGAGCTCCAAAGACCTCCGCAGCCTCCCGTCGGGCCTGCTCCGCCATCTCCTGATCGCCCTGCTCCATGTTCCTGCTGCACAAGTGAAGCCTGAAAAACCGCCATACAGCGGGGCAAGTGCACGCGGCTCCTTGGTGCTCAGGCCGCAGTAGCGACAAGGAGACTCCGAAACAAGGCCCAAGCTTGAGCACTGTGACACTGCCTCATCTTTATGCTGCCAGGCTTGGGCATGAATCAAGCGCACATGCTGCTTAATGCCACCCGCAGAGGAAACCCATTGCCCACAAATCACACAGTGCGTTCCAAGTGTTTTGACGAAGGCTTTCTGGCGCAACACAGCTCGCCATCCTGCTTTAATCTGAGCACGAAAATCCGGCGACTCTATCGTCAAGGGCTGAGCAACCGTTTCTGCCGGAGGAGTCCGGTGCGCAAACCCCAGCAACTCCTCATGCCCGGGGGGTACCTCCCCACTCGCGACACTGGCTTCTACGGTCACTGTTGCTTGTTGTTTGTACTTAACACTACAGGAGCCACGTAGATGTTTCTGGAGGCCCTCCACACGAGTGAAAATTATGTGGCAGTAGAAGCATTGGGGCATTCCGTCTATGGTTTGTCGAGCATACTCCCTAGAGACAGGCTTCGGGGCTTTGGCTTGACCATGCTTTCTAGCCTGATGCGAGCGCAAAAGCCTCATGTCAGGGAAGTACATGCCGCATATGTGGCACGCCACTGGATCACACTCAGTCATCTCGACAAGCCCAGCATGGAGACGACCCTCCAGCAGCTTCTGAAAAACTTCTACTGGACTCTTCAGCTGCAGTCGGTTGCGTAAGGTCTGGGTACTCTCATGGGTCATGTGGGACGGGCTCTTTGCGAGAGCGCGCAAGTACCTGGCATCCTTATATGCTCTATTAGACGCAGCACCCCAGCTGTGTAGCCGACTGCATGCTGTCCATAAAAACATGGAACTGCGGACACAGGCCGAGTACAGGACTGTCCGAGTGCGCAAGCCGAGGCCAGAGGTATGCAACACTTTCAGCAACTTCTGTCGGACACTCCCCGCCGCACGCATTCTATGCTTGCAGGTCCTAAGAGCATAGTTATCCAGAGACACTTCTATCCCAAGATAAACGGCACTACGAACATGCGGTATGTCTAGCGGCTGTGTCGGCGTGCCTAGTCGAAGCACATATCCATCTTTGGTGCGGTGTCTCGCCTGTTGCAACCATCTCTTAGCTACACCACCTCGAATGGAGAGTATAAGCTTAGATTTGGAGGCATTAACAGTCATCCCTAATTCTTTAAAGAGCGAGAACGTGACACGCACACATCTGCACAGAAAGCGAAGGTCGGCCTCTGACTCGATATGCCACTGCAGCATAGTGTCATCTGCGAAGAGAGTGACAAATGCGGCCGCCCATTTAGCATCTGTGCGTGCCTGGAGTGCTTCATAGAAAAATCCCGTGAAGGTTGCGAAGAGCAACGGGGACAGGGAACACCCTTGACGCACACCTAGCTGCATCGGGAATTGGCCAGTGTGCCGATTATGGCGTATGGAGTAACGGCACTGCTCGTGGAGATCCATCACCATTTCACACAGGTCGCTGGGTGTTCCCGCCGCCTGTAGCGAGGCCGCTAGTGCCCAACGCGGCAAAGCATCGAAAGCTCTGCTGAGGTCTTAACTGAGAAGCGCTCCTCCTTTGCACTTAGGATTACGAGATCCAAGTCGCCTGGAATGAACCGTGGTTTGCGCATCCTGGAGTGTGGTCTTAATGCGATCACAGTTTTGACAGACTCTTAGAATGGCTTCATCTATCGACCTCCCCGGCACATAGGCAAACTGTGGCTTGTCGCTCAGCCACGGGACTACGTAGGGGGCTATTTTATCCCTAAGGGTACAGGCCAGGATCTTAGAACTCGGGTCTTGGAGACCTAGTGGGCGCAGATCGCATGGCCGGCGGGAAGGTCGACCCGGCTTCGGCAGAAGCGCAAGTTGACAGTCAGTCGTTTCGGCCGGCAGAGGTTGGCGCTGCGTTCTACAGTACTGGATATGCTGCGTAAGGTACCGGGAGAACGGGCCAGGGCATATCTTCCAGCTTTCAGCTATGGGACTACCTGACGGGACCGCCTTACAGGACTTAAGGGCTGTGATTGCCTGCTCCACCTCTGCCGCACTGAAGGCCACAGCAGTGTGCAGCGTTGAGTGCTGAAACGCATCCTGTCGCTGAAAAACCGTGCTGAAGTACTGGTAAATCGCATCAAACTGCTCGCGCTGCGTGAGGACATTCCCTGTGGGTGACCTTATCCTAAGGGACTCGTATTTACGTTTAGGGGCCAAGTTCTTGACAACCCTATAAACCTCCCGCATATCATGCCTGGCGGCAGCGTCACTGGCACGTTGCACGAGCACTTCAATCCGAGCACGCCTAGCAGCCCTCCCGCGCCTACGAACCTCCCTCCATGCTCTAATGGCTCTAATGAACCTGAAGTACCTCTTCCACGCTGCTATTATCTGTAAGAATGAGGTTCCTGGTCTCCGTGCACGGAGCGCGCGGTGAAGTGTCCACATCTGACCTATGCCAGCCCTCACTTCAGGCGTGGCACCTGGTCGTAAGGTGACAACAGGCTTGCGCGGAAAATTTTCAGCACAAAGACGCAACAGGGTTTTGTTTAATACTGCTATAGGCATACTTGGCGACGCATTCTCTGCGACATGTTGCACCTGCATCTGAAAGCAGCAAAGCGCTCCGTCCGGTGAAGCTGATGCCAGCGCAGGTCCTCCTGGGAGTACAGAGCAGGAGCTTGTTTTGAGGACCCCTGCAAGTCAAGTCGCCATCCTGCCAGCTGTGGTATACTACACCCAAGCATTCGGTGCTTAGGCCCCTGACGCCAAGGCGTGAGATCCTCTGGGATTGGGCAAGCACATCGCGCAGTGTGATCGGCAGCATGTTTCCTGACCATGATGTAGTCTATCTGCGACCGCTGCTGACCATTGCAAAACGTGGCACATTTAGCAGGACGACTACTCCCCCAAGTGTTGAGCACGCAAAGATGGTTAGCCTCAATCAGATCCTGAAGTGCATGGTCAACACGATCCTCCGAGCCTTGAAGAAGCCCTTTACCAACCAGATTCGTGTGTGCCTGCAGTCCCGCATTGAAGTCGCCTCCAGCCAAGAAGAGATTCCTCTTGGGGATACTGTGGACGACACGCCCCAGTTGGTGCCATACCTGTGTGCGCTGCTCTTGCCGCTCCGCAGAATAAGACGCCTCTCTCACCCACTGATAGACAGTGACCAGGTCGATGTTCAACTGTTCACACCTGGAGGACACGCCCCGGCACCCATTCACAGAAGGTGCACGCCGTCGATGGCGCGAGTCTTTTCGACACCACAATCGCCACTCCCGCGTAACGTCGCGCCGGGTCCGGTGAGGAAAACCACGCCCATCCCGTGGTGCTCCACTGGCTCTCAGTGCGTCCTAATCCCCAGTGCGTCTCCTGCAACAGTAGGACTTCCAGGTCTTGCTGACGTTCCATCCACTCACACAGCACGTCATAAGCATCTGAAGAACATCCTCCCATGTTCCACGTGTGCACACGCAGTCTCCTTGGATCAGGAGCACGCCGCATGCGCGTCGTGTGGCCGGCTTGCCCACGTGACGGACTAGTAGCCCTTTGCACAGTCAGTGCCTGGAGGCTAGCCGCGCTATGCAACCGGCCTCGATAGACAGTTTGTCCATGCACGGCAGCTCTCTGCCTCGCCCTGCGAAAAGCTCTCTTACGTGCAGAAGAAATGTTAAAAATCATTCCACCACATGGTTTCGCTCCACGAGCTCCCGGGCAATGTTTGGTTGATTGCCCAACCCTCAGGTCTGTCATCACAGGTGGTTCTTCCGCTGACTCATGAAAATTGGGTGATGACTGCTGGACTTGGGACCAGCACGGCTGTGTTTCCTTGTTCGCCATCAGAGCAGTATAATATCGGATCACAAGCAGAACAACGATTCCTGTCAAAAAGACCATGGCGCGAACCGTCCTATCTGACCGCTCAGGCTCCAGCCGAGACCCTTAGTAGTAGTAGTAGTAGTAGTAGTAGTAAAGCGCCATGAGCTGCTCAAATCTGAGTTGCGGTCGGTAACGGTGGGCCCTTCTTGCTAACGTAAGCTCGCTAGCTGGCTCCGGGCCCTCAACCCAACACGGCTTTCTCCTGTGGGAGTCGTTGGCGCTCATGGTGTGTTGAACAGTGTGAGTTCCGCCGGCTATCATTGACCTGGAGGACGTACAGAGCCAACCTGGTTTCAGTAGCAGGGGAATTCCAGCATTGATCTTGCGCTGTGGCAGCAGTACCGCAATCTATCATGTCAGCTCATTCCGGTCCCAAGTCCGGAAATGCTGAAGCAGAGGGTTCAGACAAGTTCAGATATCAGCATTGGCGTGAGGGTAGGTCTTCTCCCTCCGGAAGACCTGTAGCCGTTTCGACGGCGAACACAGGAGGGGACCAAGGAACTGCGCTGAATGTGCAAGGGCTCTCGCTCTCACGTATCAGGAAGCGCTCTTTTAAGCGTGCCGTGAAAAGGGCACAACTGCATGGAGAGACTATGTACAGGGGTCAACGCCTACATGCACAGCCGACGCTCCTCCCGGTAATAGCGGAGGAGAATGAGAGCGTAAAACCTAGAATTCGTTTTCTTAGCTGGAATGCTGGGGGTTTGTCGAGCGTACTCTATGCAGAGATCTGCGTTTGGATGATGCAACCAAGCCAACAGAACATTGGGATCTTCATGATACAGGAGACGCACTGGGATTTTACGGCGGATTGGGCCACAGACGAGTGGTGTCTCTGCCATTCGGCCACCCATAAGAAGGGCAGTGGAGGTGTTCTTGTTGGGATTCGTAAGAAGCTGGTTGACCCGAGCACGATACGATGGCACGATCATATGCCAGGACGGCTGCTCCAAGTGCGATGCCAGCTTCACAAGCAGCAATTGGATATCATTTGCTTCTATCAACACGCGTATCTCCATCAGGCAGGTCAGACGGATGCAATCATGCTGAAAAGACGGCAGCTTTGGAGCTCCTTGGAGTCTCTTTTGGCATCACTTCCTGTCCGCTCTCATGTCTTACTGGGGGGCGATTTCAACGCCCAGCTGCGCAGCGAATCCAAGATAGCGGGCATGGGCCTCCTGCGTAAGGATCTTAACGAAAGGGAGAAGGAGGACAGGGAGCTGTTGATGCAGGTCCTTATCAGACATCGTTTCTGCGCACTCAACACCTGGGGAGCCAGAAAGTACGCGAGCACCTACTTTCATCCTAAAGCCAGCAGTCAATTGGACTATGTTTGTGTTAGGCAGCCGCTTGCGGATGGCAGGGCCAAGCAAACCAGGGCAATCTTCTTTCCGCTGGCGGGATGGCGATCTGTTGGTCATAGGCCGATAGTTGGCTCTGTGCCTATTCGCTGGACGCCCTGGACACGCAAGCAACAGCTTACGTTGAAGATACCAAAGCAGGACTCAACGCAGTTGCACTGGCTTCATGCGCACCCGGAACAGCAGACTGTTCGGGACCTTCGGGAGGCTGTTCTGGCGACGGGGGGCACGCCTCCGGAGAAGCCACTCAAGCCGCCATAGTAGTAGGAGGAGGAGGAGGAGGAGTAGTAGTAGTAGTACGCGCATAGCCCGGGGTTTGCGCGAGAAACT